AAAAAAAAAAAAAAATGGACAGAAAACATCAACATTAACATCGCCTTGTTGATAGCCCACTTAGACTTCCAGCCATAAACTTCAATCTTTTCCTTAATTCTTCATCACATTGACGTATGCAGTAAGAATCTCCAACTCGGCCTCGGGAGCGCCTGCTTCACGCTGCTCACCAGGAATGGCAGCAATCAGGTGGGCCTCGACGACATTGACGCCGGGATGCAGACCGACCTCGAAAGCGAGCTCCTGGGGCTGCTGACCGGGCACCATTTGCGGGTACGGCTTCACCGGCTGCCTGTTGATGAGCGTCCAGAGACTGTAGTGACGCTCGTGCAAGAAGTCGGGCAGCGCGGTGATGACAAAGACCCGGGTGCAGTGCGGCGGCACGTTGATGACGCCCGACTGCTGCAGGTACTTGGGGTCGGGGTAGATGGAGCCCATTATTGGCTGGGCGAACTGCAGCATGGGATGGGCCAGGATGGTTAGTCGAGAGAGGAGCGCGTCTTCGATGCCTGCAGTCTAGATTTAGCATTGTTTCAGGAGACAGTCTCCGAATTTTGAGCGTCTCACCTTTGCCAGGCCCGCGAGGCCGCCTAGTTTCGTTATTCTGGGCGGGATTCGGAGGCGCTGGAGGCGGTGCAGGAACAGGAGTCTCCGATAGTTGCGGTGGTCGCGGAGCACCTGGCGGAAGCTGACCCGGTGTGGGAGCATTGGACGGTGTTCCGTCCTCGCCCTGAGCCGCAGGAGTTGCAGCACCATTGGTAGCTTCACCGTTCGTATCGGGCACTTCCATGTCTGTAGCTGGCGACTCTTCATTGCCCCTGCCACCTACATGGATGGTGATTTTCTTGCTTGTTGGGGTGTCACTAGCCGTGTGGCCGCCGACCCGGAGCTTTATTTTCGATTGTACGGGCTCTGCAACCGCCGCCTTGGCTTTCTTGAGCTGTGCATTGAAGAATTTCTACTAACTGTCAGAAATGAGTCCTTGCTTTCTGGTAAGGGCTGCAACAAACCTCGAGTTCCTGTGCAAGAGTATAAATCTCACTGCCCTCTTCATTGTAAAAGTAGGCGTTTGTCCAAAGCAATTTGGACTTTTCTGCAAAAGCGGCCCAAGACTTGAAGTCGCTAACACCTGTCAGCTCACCGCGGCCCTGAATGCCCTTGACAATCTTTTGGAGCTTCTTCAGCGACAAAGGGTCAGTGACTATTCTGTAGTAGTCTTTTAAAGCCCGAGGAGGCAGATTGACAAAAGGCTCAAAGTAGACTTCCTCGTATTCGGGCTCGCGATGCCTTAGCATCTCTTCCACAATCTTCTCTTGAGCTTCTTGGAAGGTGAGTCCCTTGTAAGGAACACCCTCATATTGATGGCCATCAGCTTTTGCCGGCGTAGCAGGCTTGGGGCTGGCTTGATAGGCAGATGATCGTCGAGGTCGCGAACGAGAGGAAGTAGGCTCTTCTTTTCTCTTGATAATGATGGACTTTCGGCGCGGGCCCTCTTCTTCCTCTTCTTCCTCTCCTTCTTCTTCCTGCTCTTTGACCTGGTCCTGTTTTCCTTGTTCCTCTTCCTCTGCATCCCCATCTTGGCCCTCAGCCTTTTGATCATCATCACCAGCGTCGTCACCCTCGGCATCCTCATCGGGCAACGGTGTTGGGAAAGCCTGGTAGCCCCGCTTTGCATACGCCGGATTGTTCTTCGTCATGTAGTTGCTGAGAGCCTTACGAAAGCGCTCTGCGTCGTCAAAGACAGATGATGATCGCGGATAAAACTCTTTGGCGTTTGAAATCATGCGCTTGAAGTAGCTTTCAAGCTCCGCCATGTTCTTGAAGTCGCCCTTTTCAAGTTTTCTTTCGGCTATTTCAAGCGAGATTGGCATTCGGGTCTTTTTGTAGTAATCGGCATTGCCTTGTCGGGGAAGTAGCTTCTCAAAGTAGGTTGCGATTAAACGGCCACTGCATACAGGTCAGTAGCTGTATCTGCGGAGATGTGCAATAATTTCTACCTTTTATCGGAGGTACGACGGATCTGCTCGAGGAATGCAAGTCCATATGCGGTAGTTGATTCCTTGGTCTCGCCTTTCGTGAGATCAAAGTCCTGAACAACTATTAGCATCATTGCGCCGCAAAGACGGCGCATCGTATGTAGCAAGAAACAGAGATATGATGAAAGCCAGCCATCAAGTAACACGGCCTGCATCAATATTCACACTGATGGTTGCTGTAGAATCGTACCGAAACCTTGCGACGCTTTGAGGAGCGGTCGCCAGCGTCGACGCTGCTTCCACCGTCGGCCTTGCGCTTGCTATCCATTGCGGGAGCGCCGTAGCGGCTGGGCGGCTGACGATGCTTATGATGCGTCTAATAGCGACTCTGGATTCCAAAAATCGCGTGCCAATCGATCGTGTCGGCAGCAGGCGCACAATGCAAGTGCCCAGGCCAGCGCCGCTAATTGGCAGACGCGTGTTTAGGTCGCAGAACTCGCGTTTCGAGATGTTTGGTAGCGTGCGCTCAGGCGGATGTAGTGCGCTTTGTTTCGTATTTTCAATGTGCGTACGCGCAATGATTTTACCGTTGGCCGTTTCGAATGGCGGCTTGATGCTGCGCGTGAGCGTTCCAAGTAGTGTCAAGCTTTGGCGTGAATGAGCTGGTGGTGGTCTTTGTCCTGGCAAGCAGAAAAGCGCAGGGGCGGGAAAAGGTAGCGAGCCAACAAGATGCTGTAGAGTCCTGAATGGGACTAGCGTCATCTGTCCGCGTCTCCAGTCATTTCGATCTTCGAGTGTGCTGCTCAGATAAAGAGGTGCTGAACTCTTTAAATAAAGAAGTTCTGTGAAAGAGAATAAGACATTATCCAGAAAAATTGCTCGGGGATCAAGTACGGTAAGTCCTGGTTTTAATGGGATGTGGTGTTGGAGCAGTAGACAGTAGGCGAGACGGCTGTTCTCTCTTGGCATGATACAAACGGTCAACTTCTTAGATACCCAGCTAAACACTGTTGCAAGGGACAATGGTAGTTTTCAATTCTCAGCTTGTCTATTCTGAAGGATTATCCTTACTTGACTTCTGCGAAGTTTATGAAAATTTGCTTCCAAGAACTTGAAAGCCTCAACTAACACATCTGCTCCTACAGTGGCCAGTAGCGCTCTGGCGCGCCCCGCTGTGGCAGCTCTGGTCGTGACCTGAACCTGAGCAACGCAATCACCGAAGCTTCTTCCCTCACCTACGGCTCGCTACGTTGAACTGTAAGCCACCAGACAACATGGCCGACTCGGGGACACCAAAAGACCCGCCTCCGGGCTACGAAGAAGCTTCGACGGAGCCCAAGACCAGCGCGCGCCCTCCCCCTCCTCCAGGACTTCGCCGGGGCCCGGCGCCGCTCGATATTCCCATCATCAAACACCTCAACTCGAAGCGCGTCATCCTGGCTTCCGCTTCCCCCCGCAGAAAGGCGCTTCTTCAGCAGGTCAGTACACGGCAGCCGCCGCTGCGACGGGCGTGTCTGACAGAATACGGCAGATTGGCCTGAGAAATTTTGAGATTACGCCGTCCACAATACCCGAAGATTTGGACAAGACGATATACGGTCCGTGGGAGTATGTCTCAGAAACGGGCCGTCGCAAGGGCATTGACGTGTACTCGAAATCGCTCGAGACACATCTCAACTCCATACCCGATCCAGAACTCGTCATCGCGGCCGACACCGTCATCGTTACCCGCGAGGGCCGCATCCTGGAGAAGCCACGCAGTGAAGCCGACCATGTTGCCATGCTGAAGCTCTTGCGCGACTCTCGGATGCATCGCGTATTGACTTCGGTGACTGCAATCGCCCCGCGAGAAGATGCGCGCCACCCAGGCTACGACATGGCGACCGAAACGGTGGAGACCAAGGTCTACTTTTACAGTGAGGAAAACGGTTTGCCGGATGATGTCATTGAGGCGTATGTTAAAACGCGCGAAGGCGTAGACAAGGCTGGCGGATACGGGATCCAGGGAATCGCTGGATTGCTCCTGATTGAGAAGATTGAGGGCAGCATGGACAATGTCATTGGTCTGCCTGTGCAAAAGACGTTGCAGCTGGCAGAGAAGGTCATATTTCGCCAGGACGAGGTAGACTTCGAGGGTGAAGAGGCCGAGTCTGATGGCTGAGTAAACGAAAGGGAATATACTTAATTTCATGGTTCAGCTCTTACGGCGCAACCAGAGTGATTGACATGTACGCAGCACATGTGAAACAGGCAGACCTGGAATGCCGCTCGTACCACAATAGAGAGGTACCTGCGCACCTGTTGCCTTACGTTTCTGTACTCGGTCGATTTAATTCATTAATTACGGCACGGCGCCACCTGACGCAACAAGTGTATCGAGTTGTTCAAGAGCCTCAGTAGACCGTCGCTTCCGAGCGCCGTTGACCGGATGATGCCAACACGACCATGGCAGCCTTGTAAGCCAGTTCCCTCGGCCTGAATCCCACGGGGGTCTCGTGCATGCATACTGCCTGATCGGCGTATTTCAAATGATACGCGGCATGATGGTCCTCGGCTGTCTACATTCAGAGGGCCACTAAGCCATGAGTGGCTTACTGCAAATCAGCGCCGCGCCGAGTGCGTCATGCCACTCGAAAGCAATCTGGGGGCAAGACCCCTGCTTGCCAGACATGCCACGGCTTGCACGGACATGTAATAAATGAGTGGGATTCAGTGGCCCCCCCCTTGCTCCCCTTGCGGCCGCTGCAAGCCCTTCTTGGCTTCCAGCGCCGACGCCGTGGGTGCCAAGATGGTGGTGGTGGTGGGAAAGCGGAAAGCATCTTGCGTGGGTTTGGCAGTGCGCATGTGATCCCCCACCAAAGGCGCCGTCTCGATTTAACTTGCCAGCCCGTCCTGGCGACAACCTCTGTACCATCATTCTCGCAAAGACTAGCCCAGGAATTTGTCGTGTTAGCTCATCCATTCTTTATCATGTCGTCTTCGCCAAACAACACGACCGGGGCCGACGCCGCCAACGCCAATGGCGACGACAAGCCCCGTCTTACCGAGGAAGAGAAGAAACAGAACCACATTGCCTCTGGTCAGTTGTCCACCATGCGCTCGCCCGACCTCGTTCCCCCCAACGCAGCACTCCAGACCGTCGCGCAGAGCGATTTATACAACGTCCCGAGATGATTAACCAACTTTGCCAACAGAGCAAAAGCGCAGGCAGGCGATTCGTGAAGGCTTCGACCGACTGACGGAGCTGGTGCCCGGCCTCGAGGGTCAGGGTCGATCCGAGGGACTCGTTCTTAAAAAGACGGTCGATTATATGCGCCAGCAGCTCGATGAGCGCCAGTCCATGATTGAGCGCGTCGAGCAGACTGGCGGTGCCGTGGACCCCGAGCTCAAGTCGTAAGTCCCGCCGCTGCAACAAGCAAACGCCAAATGCGTCCTCGCACAACTGACTGTGTCCCATCGCAGATCGGCCTTTGCGCACCCTCACAACCGCGGTCGAGCCGACAGATGAAAATGCGCAGTCTGCCGATGACTTGAGAATCAGACGATACCATTTTCCGCGGGCCGCCGCAGAAGCGAGCGTGGTGCCACACCCCGCGAGGGTGGACTGCAGCCGAGCTTGATGGCAACAGCCATGGTCGCCGCCAAAGAGCCCATCGCGGCGCCGCGGCGAGTGCGCCGCTTACGCAAAACCAGCATTTGTTCTCATTGTAATGCTGAGCACCCATGGCTAGGCCAAGAGAGAAGCTTGACAAACTTCATCCAGAGTTACTGCTGTCCAGCAAGCAGGCTTGCATTGTATTGTTGTACAAGTAGCTATTACTACATTATTCAAATCGGTCCACCATTTGCATCATTCTATCTCTCATCTCTCCAGGAGGAATGCGCTCCTTGCCCAGGCTGACTTGTTTATTTTGTACATCTGCGTCGCCTACCACAAGAATCTGGCTGTAGCCATTATTTCGCGCCTCTCTGAGTTTTGCGCCCAGTGACCTGGCGGTGGTGTCCAAGTCCACTGCAAGACCTGTTTGGCCCGACAAGGCGATGCCAGCATCTGACGCTGGAGTCTCCTCACCGGTGTATGATTTGGGAAGATTACCTAGCAGGACGTCGCGGACCTTTTCTGCCCAGTCCACGACGGGAGCAGTTGTATTGACGGTGAGAATAATGGCTTGTTTGGGGCTCAGCCAGAACGGCCACTTGCCGTTGTAATTTTCAATCAGTAGAGCCATGAGACGCTCGACAGACCCAAGCACGGCGCGGTGGATCATCACTGGCCGGACAGGTCCATACTCTGCCAGCAGAGCAGCATCTTCTGTGGTTTCGCCACGAGCCTCGTATTCGGGGGCTGGTGCCTGGTATTCCAGCTCGAATCGCTTCGGCAGCTGAAAGTCGAGCTGAACCGTCGCAGTCTGGTGTTCCTTGCCGTCTGAGTCCTTGAGCACAATATCAATCTTTGGCCCATAAAAAGCACCGTCACCTTCGTTGATGCTCCACGGCATGCCTGATGCATCAAGCGCGCGGCGAAGACGATCCTCTGCTCTGTTCCATTCATCTTCTGTGCCTATAAAGTGATCCTTCGGCCGCGTAGACAATGCCAGTCGATAGCTTACGCCAAATTTCAGCGTAGTGTAGACCACCTTGACAAAGTCGAGCGTCTTCTTAATTTCTTCCTCTACTTGGCTCGGGCGACAAAAGATGTGGCCGTCATCCTGGTGAAAGCGGCGGACTCTGGTGAGCCCGGAAAGCGCGCCTGATATTTCGTTGCGATGGAGGGGGCTAAAGTCGGCATACCGTACTGGCAGATCTCGATAGCTGTGTAGTTTCGACGCAAAGATGAGGCAGTGGCCAGGACAGTTCATGGGCTTGAGGCCGTATTCGCTGTCGTCCTCATCTTCAACTTTCGTTTGCTCGTTTGGTTTCGTGCCGCAGCATCCCTCTGATTGCTCGACTGCTGCCGGTCGTTTGTTACCAATGACTGTATACATGTCGTCCGCATAGTTTTCGAGGTGTCCGGACTTGGCCCATAGCGACTTTTTGTATATAGTGGGAGTGATAACTTCCTCGAAACCATACCGCACGTACTGCTTTCGCAGAAAGTCTACTAGTCGATTAAATATGCGCGCCCCATTAGGAAGAAATATTGGCGACCCAGGACTGAATGCGGACGTGATGAAGAGCTCCTGCTGGTGGCCAAGCTTCCGGTGGTCAGGAGATTCACGCTTCTCCGGCTTCTGCGAAAAGGACCGGCGCGGCAGACATTTCGAGCATGTCCATTGACGTTGTATGGCAAGCGAGACGACGCGCCTCGTGGCTTGCGAGCGCAACATGCGAGTGTGTATGAGCGATTGACTCGTTCCGGAAGCTGACTGGCCTGTGACGCGATTTTAAAGCTCCAGCTGTCAGTGTAATAGTTAGAAATTTTGAATCCCGGAGCTGCCAGCTGCCGGCCCACTGCAGTCCAGACTACGGTTGTAGGGGTCCAGTGCAGGTGGCCTACAACACGGCGATGATATAGTACAGTGGCAGAACAGAAGGCCTCATAAATATGGTCATCGATATCACAAAAATGATCATGGCGAATTTTATTAGCTTCGATACTTGAAACTTCCAAGTATCACCCGGGCATACGGCGTTGCCCACGTTGCATGCTGCACACTTTCGTCTACCACAGCTGCAATTGAGGCGGGGTCATGGCCTTCACAGGCGCCCAACTAAATAAACCCCCACCAGACAAACTTCGTTCATGTTCACCAGCATCGTCCCGCCGCATCAGCTGCACTCGCGGTGAATTTGACCAAGTTTGCGCATCTTCCGGTGCAGGCTTGCCGCCATGAGCTTCTCTATCGAAGTCCCCGGCGAGGCTAATCCGCTGAGCTTCGAAACTCTTTGTCGCGCCCTCCTGGGAGCATCATCGACAGAATATGCACAACGGCAAGCCGCGGGGCAACAGCTTTTGGCTTGGAGTGAAAGCGGCCAGCCAGGTTACTATTCGGGACTTCAGGTACGCTTTTCAGATTGCACGCGTGCCTGGTGCTTTATCAGACTTTCAGGCCACTCACCAACTCGCAGACAGCTTTTCTCGACCAGTCTCTCCCTCTTGACGCTCGCTTCCTCGCCATCATCCAGCTAAAGAATGGAATTGACCGATTGTGGAGAATATACGCCCTGACGAAAGCCAGCATCCAACCAGGGGAAAAGGCTGCCATTCGCTCACGTCTTTTTCAAGGAACGGTTGGCGAGCCAGAACGCAAGCTGGCCTTGCACAATGCCCTGGTCATCGCCAAGATTGTTCGCATCGATTACCCGACTGACTGGCCCGATGCTCTCGCCAGCATCATTTCTTTACTGCGCTCCTCCAAAGATGGCAACCAACACCACCTGCATGGCGCTCTCGAAATCCTGCTTCGAGTCGTAAAGGAACTTGGTACTGCGCGCTTGCGGAAATCCCAGACCGCCCTTCAGTCTGTCACTCCCGAAATAGTCTACGTTTTGTCCGAGATTTACGCTGAAAAGTCCAACATATGGGTCTCTTATCTCTCTTCTGGACAGGGCAATAAGGAAGAAGCAACTATCGCTATGCGAAATAGCCTTTCAGCAATTCGGACTCTTCGCCGCCTCGTAGTTGTTGGCTACGACCGGCCGCACAGTGACTCGACTGTCGAACAGTTTTGGATGTTCTCTCAGAACCAGTTTGGCCAGTTTCTCTCCTTTGTCAATGACGATAATGCCTCGAGTGAGATGGTGGGCAAGCACCTACTTCAATTTACCAAGCTCCATATCGACATGGCCGAACAACACGCCGCTAGCTTTGCATTTTTGCCCAATTCCATACCCCTCGTTCACGCATATTGGGATCTGATTTCCAAATTTGCAGAGGTCTTTGACACGTCTGGGGGTATTCGTCAGAGTCAAGACGATGTCAAAGCAAAGGCCGAGGGCCCCCTCCAGGAAAGACTTGCGCTCAAAGGCCTTTTGCTCTTGCGTGCATGCGTTAGGGCTGCCTTTCAGCCGTTACAGACGTTCAAGTATCGCACGCCAGAGGTCAAAGAAGAGCAAGATCGTGCGCGCGATATTATCAAGACTCAGCTGCTGAAAGATGAGCTGGTTGTCCAGATTGTCAACGCCATTATCACTCACCTGTTTGTATTTCGCAAATCTGACCTTGAGGCGTGGGAAGAGGATCCTGAAAACTGGGAGCAGCAGGAACAGAGCGAAGGCAATGCCTACGAATGGGAGGTGCGCCCATGTGCTGAAAAGCTTTTCCTGGACCTTCTTACGAATTACAAGAAGCTCCTTATCCCCCCTTTGTTGCAATATTTCCAGAGCGCGCAGAATCCCCAGGCGGATATTGCCACCAAAGAGGCTATTTATACCGCTATGGGTCTATCAGCCGCTCATGTTGTCAACTCTTTCGACTTTGAAGCAGTCCTGTCCTCAACTCTAATTCGTGATGCACAGCAATCGGGTGGTCTGTTTCGAGTCCTCAGACGCCGTATCGCCATTCTAATTAGCCAATGGGCACCTGTCAAACTCTCAGACTCAAGCCGACCAGTCGTGTATCAGATCTTTCGTCATTTCCTGAACCCCGAGGACGAGACAAATGACATAGTCGTGCTGATTACTGCCGCTAGACAGCTTCGATGGATTGCCGATGAGCTAGAATTTAGTGTCGAAGCCTTCCTGCCGTATACCGCGGATGTTCTGCGCCAGCTTGTCCATCTTGTGCAGAATGTGGCGATCGACGAAACGAAGCTTGCTATTCTCGAATCTGTTCGAATTTTGGTTATGCGCATGGAGGAACAGGTGGCACAGTTTGGTGACCAGTTGATGACTTCACTGCCCAAAGTGTGGGAAGATTCCGAATCGGAAGAGTACATGATCAAGCAACATATCATTGCCATCTTTGCCGCCCTTGTCATGAGCATGGGCAACGAATCACAGCGCTACCATAGTTTCATGATGCCTCTGCTTGGAGAAGCAGCCAGAGCAGGCTCTGACCTTCACGTACATCTCATTGACGAATCTTTGGAGCTTTGGAATGCGATTTTGGAACAAAGCAAGCCTCCCCTAACCAAGGAAGTGCTCGATCTGGCAGATGCAGCACTTCCTCTCCTGGGATATCAACAAGAAACAGCTTCCGAAGCCATGACAGCAGTGCAGTCCTACATCTTACTTGCCCCCTCGGCCATGCTCGATGGTGATATGCGCACTGCTACACTCACTGCGCTTTCGAACGCTCTCACATCAAAGAGTAGAGGGCAAGTTCGTTCTGCTACTGTGTGTATCGAGTACCTGATCCGCGCCGCTGCTGAGCTCGGAGGGTCTGACGGCATCTCTGTCATTATTCGAGACATGGTAGACATTGGCTTTATGCGATTAATCATGGAAAACCTGCGCGACGCTTGGGAAGCCGCCCAGACAACCGGCCCGAACAGGAGGGTCAGCAAGTTGAACACGGTGACTGAGGGGGACTACTTTGCCATTCTCTCGCGGCTGGCATTAGCTGAGCCGTCCCTGTTTGTGCAGCTGCTGGCGTCTTTCGGCGCTTTAGATCAAGTGTGGAACTGGTTGTCTGCCGAGTGGTTCTCGTACATTCATGATATGGATAATCTTCCTCGTCAGAAGCTACATCTACTTGGCCTCACTCGATTACTGGAGCTGCCTTCTCCGATGCAGGAGCTGGTTCTCGGTAAACTGCAGGATTATTTTGATATGTGGGCGACGATTTTGGCGGAGCTGCAAGAGGGCACTCCCAATGGCCGTGACATGTTGGTTGGAGACCTCGGCGAGCTAGGAGACGCAACAGAGTACGATACCCCGAAGCGCATCACGGAGCGACAGATGGTGGCCAGCGATCCTGTTCACACGGTTCAAGCATCCGGTTTTGTTCGAGAGAGACTGCAGGACCTTGTTGGCCGCGCAGGCGGCGAGTCGGCGTTCCAAGAGCAGTGGGCTGTCAACGTGGACCCGGACGTGATTACCAAGTTTCAGACTATGGCCGGACTGGGTCAATAAGATGCGGACGCAGATCTACCGATTCGCGTTGTGTCATTTCTGATAAACGCGATGCACACACGACTAGATGAACAATATAAGCAAATATAGACTGTTTGATGAGATGGACCCATTTTTCTTGGTTCAATCTGTTTTACTCTTTTGATTCTTTGAATGCCGGCATCTATTTGAAAAAAGGCTCATTTACAGCTTGCTCTCCGCTTCAGGCGCAATCTTGATGATGACCTTGCCCCAGGTATCGCGGCCTGCCAGCGCCTTGAGGCCGTCCTTGACGCGGTCGAGGCCGACAAACGCCTCGTCGGTGTACTGAGTGCCCCTGAGCTTGCCCTGGCGGACTAAATCGAGGACGCCCTTCCAGACAACGGGCACGAGCTCGGGTTGGTGCAGCGAGTGGGCGCCCCAGGCGAGGCCGACGAGAGAGATGTTTTTGAGCAGGGCCTTGTTCATGGCGACCTTTTCAATCTTGCCGCCGGCGAAGCCGATGATGAGAATGCGACCGTTCCAGGCAATGCATTTGGTGGACTTGTCGACGAGGCCGACGGGGTCATAGACAATGTCGACGCCCTTTTCGTCGGGCGTCAGCTCCTTGACCTGCGCGGGCCAGTTGGGGTCGTTGTACGAGAGAACGTGGTCAGCGCCAAACTGCTTGGCGATTTCGAGCTTGCGCGGCGTCGAGGCGGTGGCGATGACGGTGGCGCCAAACGCTTTGGCGACTGGTTTTTTGCTGTTAGTTGAGGAATATTTTTTTTTTTTCATTTTTTTTTTTTCATGGTGTTACTAACTCTGGACAGCAGCCAGACCGACACCGCCGGCGGCGGCGTGGACCAGCACCCAATCACCCTTTTTGATGCCGGCGCGCTGGACGAGCGCGCTGTAGCTCGTCGGTGCGGTGACGAAGAGGCCGGCGGCGTCTTGGAAGGACCAGCCCTCGGGGACGGGCAGGATCGTCTGCTCGGCGGCATGGACGTGCTCGGCGTAGGCGCCCTGCGAGGCGCCAAAGACGCGGGTGCCGACGGGGTACAGCGGCTTGGTCTCGGGGTCCTTGGGGACGGCGACGACGACGCCGGAGAATTCGACGCCGGCGGTCCAGGGAAAGGCTGGAGGAGAAGTGTCAGACGAAGCTGCAGGCCAATGGAGAGAGAGGCGGAAAAAGAAAACACGGGGAGGAAAGAAGGAGCGAGCAAAAACGCACGAGGCTGGTGTTGGTATTTGCCCTGGATCTGGAGAATGTCGAAAAAGTTGGCCGCCGCGGCGTGCACCTTGATTGTGTACTCGGCATCTTCTGGCTGCAGGTCCGGCAAGTCGACGACCTTGAGCTCCTCCGGCCCCTGATGCGTTTTTGAGTCTACGTTAGCTAAACCTTTGCGCATATACCGTGGCGCAAGTGATCAATCAACTGGACGGGGATATTTGTTTGTTGCTTTTCATCTGCTTGCTAGCAAAGCGCACCTTGACGTATTCCGTAATCTGGATGCCCTTCATATTGCCCGGCTATTCGGTCGCGCGCCGCTGTGCTTTGCTTGCGCAATATTCTACCAGTAGAGGAATGGGAAATGGAATGAAATGTCGATGCAAAAAAAGACTCGGCACAAGATGAAGTTTGAGTTAAAGGAAGAAAGCAGCAACAGAAGTAAAGGTGGGTGAGAGAGCACAACCAGATGAAAGCTTGAAGCAAGCGGAGTTTATGTCGCCGGTTGCCCATCACCGCCCGGGCTTTATCTCAGCAATTGGTCTCTAGGCTTACGATTAGTGAGTCAGCTGCCCAGAGGTGCAGATAATAAGAAACTAGTAGGCATAAGGTTTTAGGCAACGTAATTCTATTATTATATGTCTACCTAGAAGAAACCGTCCTAAGGGAAAGGTACCTAGTTTTATATAGGAAATAAAGGCTAAAGTAAATACCTTTTCCCTTCCTTAGTTTATAATTAGTAATTAGAAATATAATAT